ATATTTGTCTCAAAAAACACTTGAAATGGGTCAGGATCCAGAGAGAGAGAGAGGCCAGAGGAATCCCGCACGTCTTAAAGAAGTCACAGCCAGATACGGTGTCACGTATCTGAATTCCTAGCACTCAGGAGGTGGAGGCCGGAGGAGGAAGAGTTCAAGGTCATCTTCCAATACATAGTTAGCTCAAAGCTAGTCTGAACTACATGAGACCCTGTCTCCAGACAAGTCACACTCTTTACCTTCTCCTCCTTTAGATCATTGCCTATCAGCCATATGGGAAGTCTGTGGACTGGTGGTCTTTCGGGGTCCTGCTGTATGAGATGCTGGCAGGACAGGTAAGGGGAAGTGGGGAGGTGTTGGCTTGACTAATGGCCACGTAGAGTGGATGTCCCTTTTTATGTGGCATTATTCTTGAAGAAACTGGTGGTCCCTTTTAAAAGAAATCTGCAGCGAAGCTGGGGGCAGGACAGCGCTGTCCACGGTCCTGAAACATTGTTGCAACCCTGTTGGTTAGGCTTTTGTTTCATGTTTTTGTTGTGGACCTCTTGCGGGTTTTTTTTTTGGGGTGGGGCAGGGTTTCTCTCTGATGAACCATACAAACGATCTTCAGAACGATGTAATAGCCACGGTATGCACATGAAGGATGTCTTTAAGTTCAAAAGATAACTGCATGTAACCCCAACACCTGGGAGGTGTAGACATAAGGGGATTAGGAATTCAGGGTCTTGGATGGGGGATGTATTATCAGAGAGCTTCTGTTTGAAGTGGACCACGAAGGGACGCAGGCTTGGGAAAGGCGGCCTGGCACACTCTGACGTGACTCTCCCTACTTTTGTAGCCACCCTTTGACGGGGAAGATGAGGAGGAGCTGTTTCAAGCCATCATGGAGCAAACGGTCACCTATCCCAAGTCACTTTCCCGGGAAGCTGTGGCCATCTGCAAGGGGGTGAGAGCCCCAACCCACACACCCCAGTTGCCGTCTCTCTTAGAGAAAGTTTCCTGTCACTCAAACCTCTTTGTGGCCATCTGCTGCAAAAGTCAGCTGAACAATATTCTGTCATCCCTGACCAAGGGTGGCTTCTACCTCAGCATCCTCTGCCATACCCACATCCTGGCATGCTGCAGGAAATGCCAAAATGCAAGCCTCAGTTTCTTCTTCCTCACTCGGTGCAGGAGAAAGTGCCTGGCCTATAGGAGACCTTCTATTTCCAACTCTCTCTCTCTGTCTCTCTCTCTCTCTCTGTCTCTCTGTCTCTGTCTGTCTCTGTCTCTGTCTCTCTGTCTCTCTGTCTCTGTCTCTGTCTCTGTCTCTGTCTCTCTCTCTCTCTCTCTCTCTCTCTCTCTCTCTCTCTCTCTCTCTCTCTCGGCTTTTCAAGACAGGGTTTCTCTGTGAAACAGTCCTGCTATCCTGGCACTTGCTCTGTAGACCAGGCTGGCCTTGAACTCACAGAGATCCATCCGCCTGCCTCTGCCTCCCGAATGCTGGGATTAAAGGCACGTGCCACCATCTCCCGGTGATTTTGGGGGGGGGGTCAAGACAGGGTTTCTCTGTGGCTTTGGAGGCTGTCCTGGAACTAGCTCTTGTAGACCAGGCTGGTCTCCAACTCACAGAGATCCGCCTGCCTCTGCCTCCCGAGTGCTGGGATTAAAGGTGTGTGCCACCAATGCCCAGCGATTTTTAAGGCATTTTAAATTGCATTTTTAAAAATCTGTTGATTTTGTTTGTGTGCGCGCGAGCGTGCATGTGCGCACAAGCATGGCATAGCACATACGAGGAGTTCAGAGGACAATTTATGGAGTCATTTTTCCCCTTCCTTCTTGTGGGTCCTAGGGATCGAACTCAGGTCATCAGGCGTGGTGGCAAGTGCCTTTACTCACTGAACTATCTGGCAGGCCCTCTTTGTGTGTCTCCCATAGTTCCTGACCAAGCACCCGGGAAAGCGCCTGGGCTCAGGGCCAGATGGTGAACCCACCATCCGGGCACACGGTTTTTTCCGCTGGATCGACTGGGAGAGGTTGGAGAGACTGGAGATCGCACCTCCTTTCAGACCACGTCCGGTCAGTTGCCCTCCCAGCTTCCGTCCCTGGGGGTTGGGGCTCACGAGTTTCAGTACCCGTGTGTGGAGGTGGGGGAACCCTGCATCAGAGATCGTGGGGTGTGCATAGGTTCTGATTATCACAGATTAATTTTCCAACCGTTCCTAAAACAGTGTGGGCGCAGTGGCGAAAACTTTGACAAGTTCTTCACGCGGGCGGCGCCAGCATTGACCCCGCCAGACCGCCTGGTCCTAGCCAGCATAGACCAAGCGGATTTCCAGGGCTTTACCTATGTGAACCCGGACTTCGTGCACCCAGATGCTCGTAGCCCCACAAGCCCAGTGCCCGTGCCTGTCATGTAATCTCACCTGCCGCCGCTAGGTGTCCCCAGTGCCTCTGCCCCCTTCCCCTGCCACGCCGGCTGCAGCACCCCCCCACCTCTAGTCCGGATTCTAGGTCCCGCACCCCAGCCTTTTGGCCTCGTCTCCGCACCCCACCGGGTTCTAGATGCTGTCCCCAAGCATTGCTGGCATTTTAAACGCCATACAGTCTCTAGAGCCTTTCAGTGTTCTAGATTCCGTTGTGCTGAGCCTTGCCCCCGCCCCCAACATCTGGATGCTGTTCTAATTGTTCCCGGAAACCCCACTCCGTGTGGGGTTCTAGACTCCATCTTGGTAGTTTTATGCCTTTCTCCTCCTCCACCACCCTGGGGGAAATAGTCTCATGGGATTGCCTGCTCCAGACTAAGACTCCAGATCAGCCCGCCCGCCCGCATCCTTCAAGGCTCCTCCTACCTCCACTTGAGTTGTAGAGCTAAGTGGGAGGCTGGGCTCCGTGTTCCAGGCCACCTCCCTTCCACGCTCTGGGGATTCCTGGCATGCACGGAGGATTCTTTGCCCGACGGCTGTCAGTCAGCTTTTGTTCTAGACTTGCTCCAGAACCCATCACTCACTGCCCACCTGCTCCCCACCCCCAACCCCCCTGTGCATGGCCCCAGCCTTGGTCGGAATCACACCTCCCCACCCTCGTCCTCCCGCAGTGCCTGCCACTCTCTGGGACTTTCTTCTCCCCCACTCCCCTTCCTTGAGCCTCTCCCACCCAGACACAGCTGCTGGAGAATAAATTTGGGATGCTGATGCTAAAATGTTTGGATGTTTTCTTGTAAGCTTGGGGAATGAAAGGGGGTGCGGAGGTGGGCCGGCTGTACATGGAAACAAACATAGGGGGTGTGGAGAGCCAGGAGGCACAGACCCGTAAAATGAAAGGGAAGACACCTTCGGCGTGCAAGCTACATGCAGAGCCTGGGACCAATGTGACCGCTTTGGTCACAGACTTAATGAGGAAGAACGCCCCTCGACCATTAATTGTGTCAGCAAATGACCGACCCTGCACCCAGATGCCACACGTGCATATTCACCCAGAGCAAAGCGCAAACACACGCATGCACGCACGCACGCACACATGCACACACACACACACACACACACACACACACACACACACCAGGATCCAGGGGAGTCCTGGAAAGGGAGATGAAAGGCTGGCCCCCATGTGGAGAGACAGAAATGATCAGGAGGAAGGACCCCGTGTTACAGAAGCCGAGTCAGTCAGAACCTGGGGGCTTAGAAACCAGTTAGCAAGGCAGAAGCGTCCTCCCGGCCTCTCTCTACCCTGACCCAGTTGCAAGTGTATGAGGAGGGGAGCGGGGAGTGGAGGGGGCCGATCAAGATAGACTACGTTTCCCAGAAGACATCGGAGAAGACTCCGACCCCCCACCCCCAGGTGCTGGCCTCTGGCCGCCAGGGCTGATGGGGAATGTAGTCTCTGGGTCGGGCAGGCCAGCAGAACGGTGTGCCTGTCAGTGTGTTTAGAGGGGACAGAGCCTCAAAAGCTTAGCAGGTTCCTTGGAGGGCCTGGCATCTCCTCTCTGGGTTTCCGAGTCTCACTCCAATTGGATGCTGAGGCTATCCCTTTCTCTGGCACCACCACTCCTGTACCCCTCTCTGGTTCCTGAAGGCCCTAGCCCAAATTCCGACCCTCGGCGGGCGGCCTGCCCCTTTAAGAGTGGCCCCGCTGACATCACGGCGGGGGGGGGGGCTGGCCCCGCTCCCGGCTCCGCGGCGTCTGCAGGACCAGGCTCTGCTCTGCGCCTGCCCACCAGCTGCTCTAGGGACCCCGGCCCGGGACGCCCCTTCCCGCCTTCTCCAGCTGCCCAGACCCCAGGCTCCGCCCCTTGCCTGGCTACAGCCCCAGTCTTCATCAGGGGACCCCCCTACTCCAGCTTGGCCCTGCTGTCTCTCCTCAGAGAGTATCTATCTATCTATCTATCTACCTATCTATCTATCTATCTATCTATCTATCTCTATTTCTCTATCTCCTCCATCCCCATCTCCAAGCTCAAGATCCCTGGACTTCGGTTTCCCTTGATCCAAGGCCTCTGAGCTTCCCCTGCCTGGATTCTGGGGCTCTCTGACCTCTCCACTTCCAGGGCCTCAGAATCTCTGAGCCTCTGTAGTGGTGGGGGCGGGGACACCTGAAACTACTCCATCTCTGTCTCTCCTTCTCTGTCCGTCTCCTCCAATCTCAGGACTCGTGAGTTCCAGAATCTCTCTCTCTCTCTCTCTCTCTCTCTCTCTCTCTCTCTCTCTCTCTCTCTCTCTCTCTCTCTCTCTCTCTCTCTCTCTCTCTCTCTCTCTCTCTCTCTGCCCCTCTCGGGCTCTCTGCCTCTGTTTCTATCCTCTCCCTCCCTGCCTGCCCCCCCCATCCTGAAGGCTCATCTCATTCCCTCTCTGCATCCTTCCCCTTCCCTCCCCGCCCCTCCCCTCCTCCGCAGTAGCCAATGAGCGGCCGCCGGTCCCTGCTCCCGGCTGCGTCCGCCGAGTGAGGCCGCGGGCGCGGGGGTTGGGGGGTGGGAGGCCGGGAAGGGGGCCGGGACGCCGGGCTCGGGGGCGGGGGCGGGGGGCGCGGGCACCGGAGACCCCGGTGGCGGCGGCGGCGGCCGGGGGAAACCGCGGGGCCGGTCATGCGGCTGCGGGGCCCGCGGCCCGGAGCGTCCGCCCAGCCCTGAGAGAGGTAAGAGCGAGGGGAGGGTCCGGCCAGGCAGGGGGCTCTGCGCTGGACCACTCTCAGAGGCAGTTGGGGCTCCAAGAGGCTGTAGGGGCTCCGGGAGTGGGAATCTGGGGTTTCCAGTGTCGGATTTGGGAAGGTTTGGGTGGATGGAGGGACATTTGGGCCTGGTGCATCCCAGAGGACCGGGGTCCGAGGGTCCAGGAGTAAGAAAACAAACTCCTGGTGTTTGAGTTCCGAGATCGTCGCCACTGGGCAGGGTCTGGGTAGGGTCTTCGAGGAAGGCGGTAACGGATAAAGGCGGAGGGCCCAGGCCGGTAGAGGAAGCTGCGAGTCTGGGAAAGGGTCTCTAGAAGAGAGAAGAGTGACGGTCTGGGAGATGGAGTTTGGACTTGGGCTTTGAGGAATGGAACTTCAGCCATTCAAACACCCAGATCGCAGGAACGCTGGGGGTGAAAGACCAGAAGGAGATGCCAGGCCTGGCGGAGGTGGGGGTATCCCAGAGGAGGGGTGGCTGCAGATAAAGAGCTCTGAGTGGGTCAGGAAGAAAGGACAGGAGCTGGACGGGAGGAGAGGGATTAACGTGAGGAGCGAGGGGACTTGGAGAGGTCCAGCTCCCCGCACTGAGAGTCCAGCCGGATTTGCAGAGCCGGAGGCTGAGGTCAGCTACCTGGACCGAGACAGTCCGGTGAGGGTGACTGGGTGGAGAACGCTTGTATGAGCCGAGGATTGGAAGCGGAGCAGGCGGCTGGCGGTCAGGCTCCAGAGCCACTTGGGAGGGGGATGGGAGGAAGAGCCAGCCAGAGCTCTGACAGAATCTAGATCTTTGGGTCCTCCACGAGGTTGAGGTTGGAAGTGAGGAGTTCTGGAGGCTCGGAGTACCTGGATGGTCGTCGCGGGTGACTCTGGCGCTAGGGTCTTTATTGGGATGAGGTGGATTCCCAATGCGCACAGGATTGAGGAAATGTGGAAAGCGGAGCCTCAGGTCGTCTCAATTGCCCTGCTGGGGAAATGTTTGGGGGAGGTGTCTCAAACTTTATAATGAAAAAAATGATGAGTGGGAGCTGGAGAGATGGTGGCTCAGCGGCTAAGAGCACTTGCTGCTCTTCCAGAAGCCTGGAGTTTGCTACTCCAGTTCCAGAGTCTCCGTCACCCCTGGCCTCTCTTGCAGGAGGATCTATCAGCTTTGGCCTCCTAGGGCACCTGCATTCTCCTGACCATACCCACATGCACACACACACACACACACACACACACACACACACACACACACACACACACACAGAGAGAGAGAGAGAGAGAGAGAGAGAGAGAGAGAGAGAGAGAGAGAGAGAGAATTTGTTTATTACTACGGGGAATAAGTGTCTCTGGTCGTAGAAGACTCTGAGGTAAATTGGGGGATAATAAGATGAGTCCTGCAGGCACATTGTGGCATTTTGTGGCAAGGAGGAATTTCTTGCGCCGTGAGTGGGGGTGTAAGTGTAGATAGAGAATTTGGGGCTGTTGAGATAGCTCTGTTGGTAAAGGTGCCTCTGCTGTGGAGCATCCAACCTGGACCTCAGCTAGATCCCTCAGACCCACATAGTGAGGAGAAGGAACCAACTCTCAAAGAAAGTTGTTCTCTGACCTCCAAATGGTTCCATGGATCTCTCTCTCTCTCTCTCTCTCTCTCTCTCTCTCTCTCTCTCTCTCTCTCTCTCCTCTCTCCCTCTTCCTCTCTCTCCCTCCGTCCCTCCCCCCTCTCTCTTTCTTTCTCCCCATTCCTGTTAGCACACCTGAGCTCCTGATTGGAATTTGGGAGGTCTCAGATATAACTGACTGGGCATTTCTTATTTGGAAAGTGCAGGACTGAGACTGGAAAGTTCCAGCATGGGAAATCAGGGTCCAGAGTCTGGCAGAATTTTGGGAATGGGGTGGGGTGTACTGGAATTCCTGCTTAGATGGTCGATTCAGAGTGCTGGTGTCTTGTTTGCAGGATGAGGGGCATTGGTTTCACTGATGTTCTCTGGTTGGGAATGCTGGGTGGGAGGGACCCAGTTCAAGCTCTTGATATGCTGAGAGTCTCTAATCCAGATGGTAGCTTCAGATCTCTGGGTCCTAATGTCCAGCATCCCAGATTCAGGGGCATGCCTGGATCTGGAAGAGTAGGGCTAGGTTTGGATCTGAGATTGTACGGCTGATTTGACCCCAAGCTAGGGAGATGACTCGGAGGGCAAAGCATTAGCCACAGCAATGTGAGGACCCGAGCTCAGAGTCCTAGAACCCTCATAAGGCTGGTCATGGTAGCATGTATCCGTAATGAAGGCGTTTCTGAGAAAAGTAGGAGATAAGACAGAAACAGGAGAATGCCTGGTTAAAGTTTGTATGGCAGCTAGCTTGGGATATGCAGGGGCAAACAGTTCAAATGTGGAATGTGGTGGAAGGCCACAGGGTCCTCTGACCACCACAGACGCCTGCCCGTTCTCAAACACACACACACACACACACACACACACACACACACACACACTGGATTTTAAAATATTACAACTGAGTGTTAGGGTGACACTAAGCATCCAAGAGTGTAAAGTCAGAGTCAGGAGCAGGGCTGTGCTCAAAGTCTTACGTAGACCTGAAGTCAAGTGTGGGAGTCCAAAGTATGGGGTTAGGGAGCCTGGGTGGTGACCTACTTTGGGGATTATGGAATGTGCTTCAGAGCTAGGTTCTACAGAAAACACTTTAGTGTACAGGTCAGGGCACAGAGTTAGAGCTGGGTAGTGTGGGATAAAATTTCTGAATAAATCAAGTTGTCTGAATAAATTCAGTGTCTAAACCTAGTACTCCAGTTTTGCTTAAAATGCACTTACAGACCGCACGTGCGTGTGTGCGTGCATGTGTGTGTGTGTGATAGCTAAGGGTTAATCGGAGCACAGAGTCAGGGTTGAGGTAGCCGCTCCAAATTTGAGGTTGTTGATTTGGCTAGTTTCTGAGTCACTGGCTTACTTCAAAGGTTAGGAACCATGCTAAGGGCTGGCTTCTAAAATTGGGCTTTGCAAGTCAACGTAGGAGGTTGGGTCTGGGGGACTCAGTCTTGGGTTTAGAGTTGGAATTTTAATCAGAATCCTGACATTTTGGACCTCTGGTCTAGATACGGCTCAAGTCGAGAATCCTCTCTGTGTCTGACTTAAAGACTGTGACTGCAAGTCTTATCTCAGATTTGAGAACCTGCGTCCATTAAGGGTAGGACGCAAAAAAACAAAACAAAAACAAAAACAAAAAACCAAGGATAGGACGCAGAAATGGGTCAGAGAAGTCCAATATGGATGTTTGGAGTCAACAATCGGTATCCTTCAGGGCTGGGATTTTGGGTCACTGCTCAGAAATAAGGCTTGAGGGTTTGGTTGTAGAGTTTCAGTCCCTGACTACAGCTAATGTCCCAAATGGCTTCATGGGTTGGGGATTCTGGGCACTCTCTACTATAGCTTCTGGTCCCGCAGGCCCCGCAGGGCGCCCCCCGCCGCTCAGGATGAGCCACTGCAGCAGCCGCGCCCTGACCCTGCTGAGCAGCGTGTTCGGTGCCTGCGGCCTGCTCCTCGTGGGCATCGCGGTCAGCACGGACTACTGGCTGTACATGGAGGAGGGGACCGTTTTGCCGCAGAACCAGACCACCGAGGTCAAGATGGCGCTGCACGCTGGCCTCTGGAGAGTCTGCTTCTTTGCAGGTGCCTCCCCCTACCTGCCCTCAGTCACCCCAAAGTCATTATCTAGAGTCGCACATCTTAAGACTCTGCGAATCCAGAAGTTGTTTATTTCTCTCCTGGAAGTTAAATTTCAGCACAGAATCTTCAGGCCTGCCCCTTTATTCCCTAGTTATTGAAGATCTGATACTCAAAATCCATATCTCTAACCCCGTTCTCAAGAGCTCTGAGAGAAGTCAACAGCATAGGGCAAGGGAGGTGGTTGGCAGAATCCCGATGACCCGAGTTTCATCCTCAGACCCGCATGGCGGAAGGAGAAAATCTGGTTCTGAACGCTGTCCTCTGACTGACACCCTTGCCCACTGGCCTGCTCACACCCCTCTCCCCAAAAATCAGTAGCATAATTTATTGGGGGATTTCAAGACAGGGTTTCTCTGTATTGTTTTGGAGGCTGTCCTGGAACTCTCTCTGTAGACCAGGCTGGCCTCCAACTCACAGAGACCCGCCTGCCTCTGCCTCCCTAGTGCGACACCAACACCCGGCCATGATTTTTTTAAAGTGACAATTAAAAAAAAACAACTCAGAATTCTAGGGCTAGAGTTATAGGTAGCGCAATCGGTCGAATACTTGCTTAGCACACAGCAAGCCCTGGGATCGACCCCTGGAACTTCATAAATTATGTGTAAGGGTACATGTCTGTAATCATGGCACCTGGGAGATCAGAGGCAAGAGGATCAAGGTGATCCGCTGCTATGGAGGGAGTTCAAAGACAACCGGAGAGACACGAGTCTGTCTCAAAAACGAAAAGAAAACAAACACACAAGGAAGCCAGGCAACAGTTTAGATTCAGAACTTACTCCTTGGACAGTTCCAGCGTTTGAGGGGGAGCTGGAAGACTCCACGCCTTCCTTCTAGCTGGACTTTAAGACGATTTCCTTTAAGAAACCCCAGCTTCCACGAACGCAGGAATCCAGGAGTCCCTGTCCACAGCTCCCTCCTCATTTGGAAGGTTAAAATCCAGCCCCGACCTCCTCCACCCTCCAATCTCCAGAGCAAACAAGATCTTCCAAACTCCATGGCGCCCTGTCCTACTTACTCATTTTTCAGTACTTGGGATGGAACCCAAAACCTCACGGATGCTCGGCAAGCGTTGTGCCGCCGAGCCACACCCCTAGCTTTCGATTTACATCCTGTTATGAGACAGAGCTTTATTAAATTGCCCAGGCTGGATTTAATCTCATTATGCAGCCCAGCTGGCCTTGAAGGTACAATCCTCCTGCCTCAGACTCCCCAGGAGGTATGAGTACAGTCCTGTACCCCCAAGCTCATCTGGCAAAGCCCATTTTCTTTTTCTTTTCTTTTTCCTTTTTTTGGTTTTTCGAGACAGGATTTCTCTGTATTGTTTTGGAGGCTGTCCTGGAACTCGCTCTGTAGACCAGGCTGGCCTCGAACTCACAGAGATCCTCCTGCCTCTGCCTCCCGAGTGCGGGGGGATTAAAGGCGTGCGCGCTACCAACGTTCCGCTGCTCAGCCCATTTCCTCCAGCCCCACGAACAGTGTGGATTGTAAATGCTGGGTGAAATTTCCCATCTTCCATGCCCAGCCTTGTTCTGAGCACCCCCCGGAAAGCTTTGCTTGAGGGTCCTCCCAGTCTCTCCTGCACCCACCCATCCACACTTTCTTATCTCCCCCCCCCCCCGCAGGTCGGGAGAAGGGTCGCTGTGTGGCTTCCGAGTACTTCCTTGAGCCAGAGATCAACTTGGTGACGGAGAACACGGAGAATATTCTGAGTGAGGGGGGAGCAGGGGAGGGCCCAGGCGCAAGAGGGTTTGGGGAGGAAGGGCAGGGATTAGGTAGGGAAGGGGTGGGCTCGCCCAAGGGGCAGAGGGTTGAAGAGGAAAGAGAAGTAGGAGAGAAGCAGTCAAATAGAAACGTCTTGGGTGGGACGGGGAGGTGGGGTCGAAGGAAGGGTGTGGTTTGGTTGAGAGCGTGGGGTCGTCAGAGGATACAGGTAATGAAGCGGCGGGGTAGGTGGGAAACAGGAGAAGCCAAAGGGAAGGACCTGGCAGGCGTCTCTCTGGGGACTTGGCCCTCACCCCTGCTTCTTGTCCTCCTCCCTCAGAGACCGTGCGCACGGCCACGCCCTTCCCTATGGTCAGTCTCTTCCTCGTGTTCACCGCCTTCGTCATCAGCAACATCGGCCACATCCGACCTCAGAGGACCATTCTGGCCTTCGTTTCCGGCATCTTCTTCATTTTGTCGGGTGAGTCCGAGGAACTGTGGGCTGGGGAGGGGTGAGGAGGGTGAGAGACGGTTTCTCCTTCCAGGAGCTGGAGAGGGACCCTGTTCCACTGAGTGGTTTATGTGATGTGTGGCCTAGGAGGCACGTAGGGTCTCCGTGTGAAGTAGAGATAGCAGAGCCCATGAACCGTGTTGCTTACTTGGCTAACCCATAGGTACATGCTTAATTAGGTGCCAGGCTCTATTTTTATAGAATCCCATGAGGTGAGGGCTATTAATAACCCCATTGTACAGATATGGAAGGAACCGCTCAGAGGGATGGAGTCGTTTGCCCAGGGCCAGAAGAGTGAGGGGCAGAGCTGAGAATCAAACTCACATCGTTCGCCTCCAGAAGTTGTATTTTTAACCAGCACTGCTATTTTAGCAATTAACAGTTTACAGAGCTCTCTATTTTGGGTGCAGCATTTTATTATTTTATCCCCCCATACACACACACACACACAAACAAGCAGATAGACAAGAGTTCATAGAGAGCCAGCCGCTCGGCCCGCCAATTCCAGTCAGCTGACGATCTGTTACTGGGTTTACATTTTCCTTTATCTGTACCCCCGCCTCTGTTTCCCTTCCTTCTCATGCCATCCCCTTCCGTTTTCTTCTCTTGACCCTCCTTTCCCCTTCCTTTTCCATTCTTGGGAAGAGAGTATCACAGCTCAGGCCGCCTTCAACTTCATTATGTAGCTGAGGGCGACCTTGAACTTCTGAGTCTCCACCTCCACCTTCCTCCAGCGCCGGAAGTACAGGCACGTGCCGTCATACCCAGTTTATATGGTGCTAGGGATCAAACCCAGCCTCTCACGCGCCTAGGCAAGCTCCGCGACATCTGAGCTATTTCCACACCCTTTATCTAGGCATTTACCACCTATCTCAGTGTTTTTTTTAAAAAAACATTTCAAGGTGTATTTCTGGTGTCCCTCACCACAACGGTTCACAGTGCATGCCATTAGCTAGAGTGCGGGCTTCATCTGCGCCTCCCTCTGTCTGCTGAGGTGCAAGGCTCTTTATCTTTAGCATGTGTGATCTCACACTCCATCCTCTAAGAACCCTGCGGGGGAGTTGTCAGCAGTCACCTGATGACTTGTGAGGGTTCTAAGATCCGCTCGCACAAGTCAGCAGTGCAAACCGCTTCCAGATGACGCCGATGTCCAGAGATCCAAGCGCCGTTCTTTGGGGAGTCTTACCTTTCCAGCTCTGCCCAATCCAGCTCAATCCAGATCAGTTTATTGGATTACTTCATCCCATCAGTCCAGTCCAACTAACCCCAATTCATTGTGACTCATTTCTCTAATTCAATCCAAATTAATTCATCATTTAATTGAACTCAAACCAGGTCCTTCCAGTTGACCGATCTCTCTCTCCCTCCCTCCCTCTCTCTCTCTCTCTCTCTCTCTCTCTGTGCGCGAGCGCGTGTGCACATGTGAGGTAATTGCGTCTGTGCACCTGTGCACAGGCCAGAGCAGGATGCTGGATGTCCTTTCATCACTCTGCGCTTTATTGCCTTGATAAAGGGTGTGCTACTGCCTGGAAAGCTCACCATTTCAGTTAGACAGGCTCCAGCAAGGTCAGAGGCTGGACACGGGTAGGGTTACAGACATGGGTAGCCATGTCCTGCTTTGTACGTGAGTGCTGGAGATTGGAACTTAGGTAAGCATGCTCAAACATCAAGCGTTCTTCTCCACTGAGTCATCTCCCTAGCTCCTTGAACTGATACTGTGTGTGTGTGTGTGTATGTGTGTGTGTGTGTGTGCATGTGTGTTTGATATGCTATTTAAGCAACCTATGTTGTGTTTCCCCTCACTCTGCTCCCCATAGCCTACATGTGGGTACCATCTTTACAGTTCACTGTGTGGCAGAAGGATGTCCCTGCTCCTACCCCAGCTCTCTTGAAGCTAAACCTTCCCCAAGCCTCCACCCTAACCTGAGGAGACCTCTCCAGGGAGAGCAGGGTGCAGCCTCCATGCAGACTCAAATCACAGCATTCGAGCCAGGCACCGAGCTAAAATAAGACACGTTGGATATCACGATCCCAGAGTGTCAGAGCAGAAAGGGCTCATCGTTTCTGTGATGGAAAAATAGTAGCCTAGAGAGGGAAAGTGGGGCAAGCGTGGATCCCGTGGGGACTTGTATTCAGCCTACCCAGTGTGTCACATATACAGTCCCACTGTCTGCAGATCACAGGGATGGAACCAGTCAATTCAGCCAGTCAATGGCAGAGCTGGGCTCTGCACCAAGAGCATTCTGATTTTAAAATCTACCCTCCCAGCACTGAACCAGTAACTGCTTGCCCAAGGTCAAACTGTAGATTAGTGATGCCTTTGGGGCTGGAAGTTAGACCTGTGTGTGTGTGTGTGTGTGTGTGTGTGTGTGTGTGTGTGTGTGTGTGTGATGTTCTAGTTTGATTTCTCTTGCTGTGATAAAACTCCTAGTAAAGTAACTTAGAGGTGGAGAGGGTTTATTTGCTTAGAATTCCAGCCTAGAGTCCATCATTTCAGGAAAAGGAAGGCAGAGGCAGGTATAGCCCGTGCACAGCCGAGAGCAGAGGAAAATGAATGCACCCATGCTGCTTGCTCTCATGCAGCTCAGGGCCCCTCCCAAGAAACAGTACTGCCTACATTTAGAATGGGCCTCCCCGCCTCAAGGAATATTCAAGACAGCTCTTCCCAACCCCCAGGTGTTTCCTTAGAAATTCATTAATGCCCCCCCCCAGTGCTAGAGAGAGGGCTCGGCAGTTAAGAGCCCTTGACTCTTCTTCCCGAAGATCTGAGTTTGGCTCTCAACATTCACAATGGGTGGCTCTGTAGGATCTAACACCCTCTTCAGGCCTGCACGGGTACCTGCTTTCACAGGCACACACCCTCATACAGGTACTCATCAACAGATCTGATTTTTTACAAAATATCCAAAAATAAAGACTCTCTTCCCAGGCGAAATAACTAGCACATACATAGGGAGGGACTTAGACAAGCTTTTCCTATGTAGGCCTGACTGGCCTAAAACTCATGATGGTCTGCCTTGGTGGTGCTGGTATTATCTGTGTATGCCACTGTGTCTGGGCTAAATTTCTTTCTTAAATCCATTTAACAGATTTTGGTCTATTTACCCTCTACCAGGGTATTTGCTTATATGCTTTCGAGCCAGTGGGTTGTAGTAGCTGAGCCATGTTGCTGAGTTTTTTTTCCCAGTCTGGTCCTGTAGCTGATTTGCCCCCAAATAAGCACACAGGAACATATATTAATTATAAAATTGTTGGCCCATGGTTAGGCCTTCTTACTGGCTAGGTCTCTCTTATTAACCCATAACCACTAATCTATGTATTTCTACATGGCCTTATCTTACCCAAGAACGCCTGGCAACTCATATCTTCCTGGTCTCTAGATGGCATCTCCTCCTGGAGGCTCCCCCCCCGCCCCGCCCCCATTCTCTCCTAGCCCCGCCTATCTTCCTGTCTCTACTGGCCAATCAGTGTTTTGTTCATCAACCAATAAGAGAAACATAGATACAGAAGGACATTTGTGCCGCATGTGGATTCAGATTCCTTACCGCCTGGATGAGCTCACTCTGAGAGCAGTTCCCAGGAAGGAAATATTACTTTGGCTCACGATTTCACAGATTTCGTTTTGTGGGCTATCTGGCTCCATTGCTGTGGACCTCCGGTCAGGCAGAATGTCATGGAAGTAAAAGTATGTTGTTTGGGCTGGGGACATGGCTCAGTAAAGAGGACCTGCATTTGGATCCGTGGCACCATGTCAAAAACAAAAACAAAGAAACAAAAAACAGTATGTATGGCAGTGCATACCTGTAACCCTGTCGCTGGGGAGGTGGAGACACGCGGTCCTTCAGGCTTATTGACTTAGTTGAATAACGGGTTCAGTGAGAGACTATGCCTCAAGGAATAAGGTGGAGAGTGACTGGGGAATCACACCAGAGCTAACCCACCCCACCCTGTTCTCTCTCTCTCCCCCCTCTCTCTCCTTCTCCCTCTCCCCCTCTCTCTGTCTCTCTCTGTGTTCTTTTAAATTTTTATTTTATTTTGTGTGTCTGTGTGTGTGTGTGTGTGTGTGTGTGCACGAGTGCAGATACCTGTGACGAACAGAAGAGGGCGCCAGACTCCCTGGAACTGGAGTTGCAGGTGCTTGCCAGCTGCCTGGCATGGGACTGAACCTGGGTCCTCTGTGAGAGCAGTACACACTCATAGCTGAGTTATCTCTCCATCCCCTGTGTGCACATCTGACCATACACACACACACACACACACACACACACACAGACACACACGCACGCACGCACGCACGCACGCACCCCACCTTCCCCATCTTCTTGGACAAAGTTGGTGGACCAGGCCAGAACAAAATCTATATCCAAGAACATACCCACATGCTATCTACTTCTTTCAGCTATGCCTTATTTCTTCAGGTTTCCAGAACCTTCCAAAATCACACTAGCAGCTGGGGAACAAACTTTCCACATAGGAGCCTACAGGGGTACACCTTATATCAGAATCATAACACGTCATGTATTATTTCTCTTGGTTTTGTTTTTCTACCTGAAAGTTAAAAATGTTAAAGCCCACCCTTAACTTGTAAACTGTACAAAAGCAGGCAGAAGCCAGCTGGGGATGGCGCACACCTTCAATCCCAGCTCTTGGTGAGCAGATGATCTCTGTGAGTTGGAGGCCAAGCCAGCCTGATTTACAGAGTGAATTCTAAGACAGCCAGGGCTGCACAAACAAGCAAACCAACAGACAGGAGAATTGCAGTTGGGCAAACACTGACCTCAGCTGTGGGCATAACGATTTTGTACGGTACCAGTAAGTGTTCAGCCGTACGCGGTAAAGCAGAGGAATGCGTAAAGGCCGTAGCCGTAGCTCATCGGTAGAGTGTCTAGCACACTCAAAGCCGTGGGTGCAGTCTTCAGCCTCACATGAACAAAGTGTGGTGGTGCGTTCTTTTAATGCCAGCCCTTGGG